TCTCACTAATGATGTGTCCCGCGGGAAGACATCGTCATTTGCATATAAATGCGCGTGTACACATTCGCACGAGAGAAAGAATGCATTACGTTTTGTCCTTCTATGGTGCGGTCAAAAATTCGTGGCGCAACTTACTGTCAAATAATAATATTTTGTATGCCCGAAACTGCTGAACATAGACTGTCCAGCTTTTACACAATGACTTGTACAAATTGGTCTTAAAAGGTTAATACTGTCTCTTGTGAACACCTGTTAGCTGTACTCTAGAAAATTCCTTAATAATTAATATTTATTTTATAATACATAGTTTAGCAAGCTTCACAATATAAATTGATTAATGTTATGTCCTAGTTTTACTTTAAGGAGCACAAACTGCTACAACAGCTTAAAATTGAATTGAATGCCTGCGCACACAAACAGACGAACACACACACAAAGAAACACAAGCACATAATAAAAAAACAAGCATACAAACACATAAACACGCACACAAACAAACATACACAAACAAGTACCAAAAAAAAAAACACACACGCACATACATACACACACAAACACACACACACACACACGCACGCACACGCACACACACACACACACACATACACACACACACACACACACACACACAACACACACACACATTATAGTGAAATCAGACGCTCGTTAAAATAATCAGATTGAAGATATCGGCATTTTTCTGCCGGTTTGGCAATATATAATATATGCCTATCCGATTTTTGTTTGTTAGTTTGTTTTCTTTCGTTTTTTGTGGGGGGGGAGGGGTTTGTTCGTTTGGTTTTTTTGCTCAACACTTTTTATGTTCATTTAAAAACATACTTTTGTTTGGATTTTACTGAAAAACTTTTTAAAGGCACAACACAAATGTTAATTTTCAGTTTCCAAAATCTCAAGCTTTGTAAATCACCAAACTTTGGCGGCCATTTTCTCGCTAATTTTACCTCTGAAACAAGGCAACCCTTCAATCGCAAATATTTCGACTTCTATTCAGCATTGATTGATGTTTGATTTTTTTTCACCAAAAGGAAGGCGAATGAACAGGTTTTACGATGATACCAATAACTCTTTTTTCTTTTTTTTTTTTTTTTTTTTTTTTTGTAAGTGTTTTACGGCGCTCGCAACTGCAAAAGGTCATAGCGCGCAGGACACTAAAAACATTTTTAAAGTTGGTAGCAAATTTTGAATTTTGCACGGGTGGCGCCAAAAGCCTACTCTTTTCGGTTTTAGACCACTAAGGGATATTTAACGTGCGCAACTTGCACACGGGACATCCGAGATTTTCACCCTTGTCTGGGAAGGCTAGGTGTAGATCTTTCCTACCAGAAGATCAGGGGCATGGCTGAAAGACAGCAGTATAAAGGAGCCAAGGAGTAGCAGTAGAAAGGCTGCAGAAAGAGTCAGGAGCCCAGTGGAGGGGGCAAAGGAGGTGAGCTGGCTGGGGAAAAAAAGTGGAGACGAAAGCAGACGACAGAATAATACAAGACAATAGAAAACAAGTTAAAGGAGACAATTTTAGAGAAGAAAATGTTCCCGTCGCTATCCGGATTCAAACCCTGGACTTTTAAATGAGAGGCGAACACCTTTTAACCTCTAGGCCATGATAGCCCCCACCAATCACTCTATAGGGTCTATATGCCCCAAAATTGACGAGAGCCTCATTCTACCGTGTCGTGACACAAATGAACTTGGAACGGGAATGGCACACAATAGAGTGTGAGATGTCTATTTCTATTCAGTTACGTTTAGATTTTTATATGTCTGTTTGTTTGCTTGTTTGCTTTGCTTTGTTTGGTTTGGTTTCCCTGGGGGGG